CCCTTTTTTTATATTCATTAAAGGAAAGACAATGTTTGTCTTGGGTGTGCTGCTCATGCCAGAGTGATTTATGCTAGCACACTGGCTTTGTTGCAGCAAATCCTGATTGAAGTGCAGAATGCTGTCCCACATCAGTGTATGACCAAGCAAATAAGCATGACGAGGTGGTGTTGTGGTTGTGTTTGTTATAAAAATCTGAAAATTTGAACACATTAATGTTACATAACGCAGATTAATGGAACTACTATTTTGACCTCACTCTTGGTATGACGTTATTGACTCGACACGAATGGTCTCCATGACAGCAGACAAAAGTGTTCAACTTTCTGTGTATGCATTTATGTGTATAAGCTTGAAATTTTACATGCATGAATTATACCGGTTGCTCTGCCGTCTCCAGCTCCACTGACAGGATTGGAGAGGGACATTTCTAAATTAGCGTTTCAAACAAGATGACTTCTTTCAAGCCGTCCTGAATATGAAAACATAAAAACCTGATAATATTCAGACAAAATGTGATGTTTTGAAAACGTGCATCTAGTGCCGGCTTTTGATACAACATGAGCAGTTACCCACTGCAGCGTCAGAAAGCACTGGGGCACCCAAGAACTAAAAAACAAATTTCTTGTCCCCTGAGCAAGTTTGCCACCATTTGTACACAAGTTTCATGAAGCTGCTGTTGAGTAATCAGAAACTACAAACAACCATTTAATTGGTTGGAGTGTGCAAAGTTTGCGCAATTGTGTGCATGTTTATATTTTAAACTTACAAAATTAGGCATAGTTTGTAACAATAAATATACCAGATTAATCCAGTATGCTTTTCTTCTCAAAGTTTGATATTAAATGTACTACCAGAACCGTAATCAATGTCCTTTCAAAACTGAAAGAACAAGCATTGAAGGTTTTGCTTTATTGTTTTTGTTATGGTTGGTGTTTTTGTTGGATTCCAATTCAACTTGATGAGATACCAGTTCTAAGGTCTGGCTGGAGAACAACGTTGAGAGCTAATGAGTTTAGTCAGCTGAGAGAACAGGGAGACTTAACAAAAAAATCTGATGAAATCACAAAACTGGCATGAGCCTTAAACAAGAGAATAAACAAAAATGCACAAAACCCAAGAACAAGTAAGCAAGTAAAGTTTGACTGAACCACTTCACAGAACACAGAGAAATGAACTGCAGTAGATAGATCCAAATGATAATTAATAGACTAGATAACATAATAAACTAACAGAATCAAAGAATATCAAATTAAGCCAGAACCTAATCGCTCACTGATCAAATAATAGAAATCACTACAAGCTGAATTGATCAACAGTGTCAAAACCTTCACTGACCAGCAAACGGTCGAAACAAAAAGATCGTCTTTTTCACACTCATGTAGGGAAATGTAAGAGTAACTAAATTAAAAAAGATATTGCAGTAATGTTTACAAGGAGGAATATTTCAAATAGCTCTTCATCTGAATCGCTAAAAATAATAAAAGAAGAGGGAATTTTGTTGTATAAGTAAGCCTATCAAAATTGTGTTGTAATATTTTGAATATCACCATAGCCGTGTTAGAGTTAGTTGCTTAAGATATACAGATCATATAACAGAAACTACATGTCTTATCAGCATTTCATCGTTCAAAGTCTCCCAGAGCCCCGAGATTACAGGCATGTTGCTGATTAATGTGGAAAGAAAATGATGCTCATTCATCTTTCGCCCCGTCTTATTCTCCCCTCCCTTACTTTATTAATGGCTGTAATCAACCACAAATAAATCATTTCTGTGCTTAGAGCATGAATCTTGCTTTCCCACCTGTAGCAAAGTTATAAGTTGAACTGGGACATGAATCGTGGTGCAGTTTCCATCATTGTCTCTGGAATCTCTACCATTTCGAAGCTCTGTCCTCGTTTTTCTTTTGAGAGGTCTAAAACATACCTTAAGGTGACATGAAGGGTTGGTTTGGTGCAGCAGAAGGACTGCTCTGCTCTTTGGCAGGTGAAAACACTTCAAATCATGCAGTGACCCTCTTGTTTCCTGCTGTTGCATCATTGACATGCTGGCTGTTGTTCACTTTCAAAAGGCCAAAAAGACATTTCTTTCGCCTTCTTTTTTTTCTCAAGGTGTGAAGGCCCTGTGTGTTTATGAGTTGTGTTTTTGTTTCTCACTGGGACGTTTTCATGCATCTTTCTTAGGTTTGTCTTGGTTTTATTTGGCTGTGTTGATTTTTCTTTTCAGTTTTGGTTTCTGCGAGAAGCGCCTGCTGCCTCTTTATGTTCGTCTCTTTGCTTCCGAAAGTCTAGTATCCACAGCTGCGTTCGTTTCATTGTCATCCACCTTAGAAAACACGGTGGTACGCAAACATTGCTTGTTGTTTTTTGTCCTTATTAGTTGTGTCACGCTCTATTTTTGTGTTTCGCTTAAATTTGTCTAACGACAATCTAGCTTAGCTTTTGGGGAAAGGTTTCTGGACTTCGGTGGAAATTGGCTGGGACAAAAAATTTTGTGGTATATTTTTCATCCCTAGAAAAAATTGTAATCAGTGTTATGTTAAATCTTGCATAACGTTATGCAAGTTAAGTCGGGGTGATGACGGCTCATAAGGTAGGAGTTTGACCTGTGATTCGTGGGTTGCTGGTTTGAACCTCCGTTTTTATTTTGTAGCATGTGAATTACAATAGACTGAACAAAATTATTGTAGCTCAACATTCTTGTGGGATCAGTTGGTTCTTTATTCTGACCTCGTTTGCAATTTAACATTTTTCGGGAACTGACGATCTGACGGGACAACTCGGCTACTTCCATGCTGTGTGATCGTGACATTTTCACTAAGAAAAACTATAACCATGTCATGACAGTATAACACATTCATCAAGACTGTCCTCATTGCTTTGATTGGCTGTTTCTGTTTCAAATTATGTTGTCAGAACATATGGGCAAATGTTTAAAAATCTGTCAAAAATAAATGACTAATAACTATTAAATTAAAAAGTAACATTCTGTACCTTTAAGAGTAGTAAAAGACTCAGATTGGTATTTAGCAGAAAATCCTAATCTGGGCATTCTTAAATTATGAGAATAACTAAGTAAGTTATGATTTTTGATGTGAGACATGATTGAATCAGGAGAGAAGCTGTATTAGTGAAATTAGAGATAACATTCAGTATTCTAAGAAATTATTTTCATGTAACCTGGATGTCCCTGTTTGGCTATTTTCTTTCTTTCTTTTTTTTTAAAGAAACACACAGACTGGGGAGGGAATTGGGCAGCAGTCACATTAGGCCGCCTCTGCTTTTGGTATTCACCACGAATGTACAAAAGCAAGCACTTGCGGGCATTTCATCTATCCGTGCTACTAATTGAAATGGTCCTGTATCTCTTATACAAGCTCAAGAAAGTTGGTCCTCTGGTGGGTTTGAAGTCATGAATGCTAATAAGGTGGAACTTCTCTCTCCTCCGAGTGCGAGAGGTTTTCCGGGGAGGAAAAATCACCATCTTTCTTTGAGGATTTTTTTTTTCAACCTCCCTTTGAGAGTGTTGATGGCGAACAGAGAACATGTGCGGTTGCTCCTGTCTTTCAGTGCGTTTGCGTTAATTCTGGTGCTGAGTCAGCACAAGAGCAACAGGGGAAGAGGAGGGGGAAGCAGCGGGATGAGATCAAGAAGCCAAGGGGATTTCTGGTGCCTGAAAGATGAAACTCCACAAGAGGATTCATCTTGTCCTATTTTATACAGTCAGCCACTTCGTGAAATTTTCACAGCACTTAGGTTTGACTATGTTTGCATATTGCAGCTCGCTACTTATGAAACAGTTACTTGCATGCACAGTTTTGACTGAAATGTAGGCTTAAGTGCTGTTATGTGAGAGCATAAGTTTTGCTTCCTTACAAATACTAATTCAAATCTATTCTGTTCTAGTTAAAACAGAATCTCAATAAGCCACAACTAGTGATACATGGTCGACTGAAGCCGACTGCCAGGTCCGATGCTTGAAAAACAGACCTGCTCTAGTGTCTGCACAGGAAGCACATAATGCTTAAGGCAAGCATGAGAGCCGGGATAATTTTCTTGCTGAGGGAAGAGGCTTTAGAGAGTTTAACAGCGAGAAGTGAGCTATAAGGGATTTCAAAACTTTGGACCATCAGAAAAAGAAATAATATATGCAACGTCTAGCCTGGCAATGGTAATAGAGCGGCTGTTCATGGTTTTTCATGTTTACATCAAAATGAAAAATTCCGGTTCTGGAAACAGAAAACACTGTTCATGTCACCTGGCTGTCAGACTGTTATTGTAGCTATCCATTTCTGTGAGATTTTATGTTTATGTGCAGCCAACAGCTACAGTCTGGTTTGAACAAAGATATGTTTTACAAAAAAACAACAACAAAACAAACATCTGTTCGAGGGCATTTCTGACATGATTATTTTGTATGACTGAATGTGTTCAGTCAGTCAAGTTTTGAAAATGTGAGCACGTCACATCTGAACCTCAAATCTAAAAGTGAAGCAGAAAATCTTTGGTCCAAGAGAGATTAACATACATGTGCTGTTTCTAGAAATGACAGTCCGTGCTACAGGTTCACTGATGAATTGCAAAACGACCATTCATCTCTTTCTTTTTTTCTTTTTTTTGCACAATTCACATAAGCCCTCTTGTCACATCTAAAGCTCAGAAATACCTGGAATTATTTAGTTTTGTTCAGAAATTGTTAAGACTTAAACTTGGAAAGGAGATTTTCCTGCACTGGTCGGTCATCAAATCAAAAATGAAAATGCAGATAAGGAAAACTTCCAAAGTTAAAGATACTTGCATCAACATAACTTTTAAAGTTTTGATAACAAATGTGAAAATCCATGATAGATCAAAAAGATGTTGTAAGGTCACTGAAATAAGTCATAAAATACATCATAAACTAGTGAAGCTTGCCTCTAATGTCCATGTTTAAAAAGAAAGAGGCGGGGCTGAATAACATTTAGAGGGGAAATGTGTGGAGTGTGACGAGTGTGTCTTACCCACGGTGAGCTGACCAGTCAGTTGTCCCTGATCATTTCTAGCATTGACCGTCACGTTTCTGTCTGACTGGAGAATCAGCGGACTGTCCTGTAGAGGGCAGAAGAGAGAGGAAAGAAGAACATCTGAATATTCACTGCTTTTACTGAAGTGAGGTAGTGCAATGTAAAATGTAGGTGAAAAGTTAGTTAAGCACAATGAAACATGGTGTCTGCATGGCACACGTAAATAGTTGCTAAAAATGTTTCAGTTTAAACATGTAGCAATGTCCCATTTTGTGTGTATCGCAACTTGTGATTGTAAGTACATAAAGAGTCAGGTTGGGGGTTCCACAGGATTCTGTACTAGGGATTATTATTTTCTCCTTATTTAAACATATTTAAGAAATGTTGACCTAACTTTGGAACATGGATTTCACCATGTACAGCATATTTTAGATGCTCCTAACCTTCAATCGTCCTAATATATATATTTTCAAAAGAGACCAGTGAAAATGTTTGATGTCATGAAAGTAATTCAACCGTTATTCATACATCAGATAAGGACAACCTAAAACTTGTAGTCAAGTTCAAAAGTCAGTTTTTAATGATAATTTCTACTAAATACAAGTAGAAACTCGATTTTAACACCTGAAATAAGTGTTTGTTTTGTCAAATCCAGTCTCAGACCAGAAGTCAAGTTTTAAGTCTTACAAGTCTGACTCTGGTCTGAAGCTCCGAACTCGAGTCACCGTCTTTACTTGAAGGTTCTTGGCCTCCAACTGCAAGATTGAGGATCACTAAAAGGAAATGACTTTTCGATTGTTGCTCTGTAAAAAAAATCTATTGAATATTTGCATATTTAATATGGATAAGACATCAACACAGTCATTGGGAATCTGGATTGGTGTCATTTTATTTCAACTGGATGCTTAAGTAATTCCTTAAATTACTTTTGGAATCATTTGCCAATGATTGATGATCATTGGTAAATACTGCTAAGAGTACCTGGAAATCTTCATCAAATCCTTACATTTTTATTTCATCAAATTCTAAGAGAGAAACTTTGACAGCAAGTTTCACTGAGAAATTTTGGTCTACTCATACAAAATTAGGCTGAATCGTGTTTGTGTTGCAGATTGAAAGAGCGAACGATTGACTGAATTTTACCGAGGTAAAGGATTCAATGTTCTGTAAGGTTTTTATTTGTGTACAAAATACCTTACCTTGAAATTTCTTTTAAAAAAGTCTATTACTGCTGCTCCTGGCTGAAAGTTGAGAAGAGTCACCTTTTTCCAAGCTTTATGTAACCTTGGCTTTCATACAAATCCATTTCTAACCCAAACCCCCAAAACAAATAATGCAAAAACTCAAACTTTTTAAGATAGGCCAGAAAAAAATCCAAAATATTTTGCCTGGATGGGGAAAAAATAACTTGAAATTGGGAATTTGTTTAAAATATTCTGTATAAAAACATTTTACTTCTACCATTTAAAGATGAGGCTTTGCATTAATTTTAGCCATGGGGAGGCAAACATTCTCCTGTAGTTAAGTATTTTCTCCATTTCTTCTCCTCTTTGGATACTGCAATCAATTCAGTTGATATCTAATTACTTTACAAAACAAAGGCCATTTGAGGTTGTAGCCACTGCCCCCCGTTCACACCTGATTCCCTCGGTTCTGCAAATCCAACAAACTTGGCAACCGGTTTGCATTTTCTATTCAAAACAGGATTCTATCTGGGAGTGTTTGCATGTTGTGTCCCCACAAAAATTAAAAAAATAAAAAAATAAGCCAATCGCTTCAAACCTAAATGGGATAACTGCAGCCAAGACTTTAACCTCCACTCTTCTTCACACTAATTGAGCCCGTTTTATTTTCATGAACTACAGTACAAAAGTTGTGCAGGTTCGCTGACCCGACTTGGTGCATCCATCTACTTAAAGATTTTTGTTTAGTCTTCTCTTGTTTCATTGTGTCTGACATAATTGTCTTGTTTTTTTTATTATAATTTTCTTCTCTTCCCTCCTCATTTTCCCTTTTTAAATTACTTATTTGTTTTGACTGCATAAATGAGCAGCTCACAGGTGACCCAATTTCCCTCTTGATTTCCCCCTACTAATATCTCGCTGGATTCCCGTCTGAATTTTAAACGAGAATACTGTTCAATTTGAAAACTCGTTGATCCGTTGAAATTGAGAAATCCTTATTTTCCCTCGCCTTTTCCGTCCTCTTCAGTTTCCCTTTTCTCATACTTAGTGGTGCTGTTTTGCTACGGATGAATATTTATTATTTTGCAGCCTGCTTATGCTTCTTGTTTTAAATTTCAAACCTGTCTACACTTTATTTTGGAGCGTCGTGGGGAGGGGGAACTTCTGCAGCAAGGGTCAAAAGCACAAAAATTAACTGCTGGGCAAGTATGTTGGGCACATGCGAGTTCGAGACATAAATACAAATACAACAAGAAACACAACATGTGCAGAGAAACCATGAGTATATGTAACTATTTTGTATTGAATGCACATAAGCATTGACCGCTAAAAATCAAAAGGTGTGAAAGAAGTCCTGCCCACCTTGGCAAAAATTCAACTATGGCGTAAAACCTCCATTGACCTTTTTAAACGGCATGTTTCCAGTAGAGGTGTGTTGTCTTTCCAGTTTGTTAAAATTGACTCCACAATGCAAAGGATAACAGCTCAATGGTCTGTGTGCATGAACAGACCTGAACCCAATCGCTTGTCCAGCACAACCCGATGTGGACACATTTGACCACATCTGATCATTTGACATATGTCAAATGTGTAACATGTGGATGACAAATCATACTTTATTGAGCAAGAAGCAGCATATGGGTTGGAGTTGCCAACTAAAAAAGTTACATAGATTGTACAGTTTGTAGGAAATCATTTTCATTGCACGATGAAACTGTATAGATGCTCAACACTGCAAAAACACATCTTAAGTGCCTTTCATGAAGTTTCTAGTACAAATATCTTAACACACTTCAATGAGACAAAACCAACTTACAAGTAATTTTTCAGTACGATATAGGAGTTTGTTAAGTGAATAATTCCTTAATGTTGATGACAAAGAACTTGTTCCACTGACAGATTATTTCACATATGTGGGAAAAATTTCTTGCTATTCTAATTGTATTGTGACTGGGTGGAAAATGCATAAGTCAAAAGAACTGAAGTAGGTGCCTCATGCAATCTGCCCCCTCTCATTTATTGTACAGGAAAGTAGCCAAAATAACAACGTTAAAGCCTTTGATTTACAAAACTGAAGATTTTGTTGGCTGACATCCTGAAACAATCATGGTTTAATTAAACAGGAACATCAAACTTATAGAGCTTCAAAAGTGGCCGTGGCTATTAAGCATCCAGTTAGAATCTGCTTTCCATTGAGGCCTGTTTGACAGATTAAAAGCATCTTTTGAAAATGACAATCTCTAAGTCGATATCCAACACACTTTAATAAAACCCCCATGTAGATGAAATCTTTTTTTTTTCCATTAGCTGTAAGCTAAATTTCTATCATGTTGTCAGAGACAAAGGCTTGGGAACATCAGTCCGTGTGTAATTAATGTGCATAAACAATTCCACATGGACCACTTTTCAGTCAAAACTTCCCTTGTGCTTTCTGGGAAAATCATGAAAGCATGTGAGTGACGGCAGCTGCGTTGGGAATTCGGCCACAATAAAACAATATTTCTGAGCAAAGACATCAAGAAGGAATTAACAAGGGTGAAATTGATTTAGAACAATTTCTTGTTAAGTACGACACTGGCTGCAGCACGGTAGCTTGAGAGTGATTGCAGCAGAATGACTGCTTTGCTGCTCAGGTCCACATCTGAACGCACAAAGAACCGGACCGGTTTGAAGTGTTGAGCGAACAATCTAACTGAAATTGAGAGAGCTTGATGTGGCTTAAGTTTGTCAGCAACCCAATAAATTTTAAGTTATTCAACGTTCAACAAATCCTTTAATATTATATTCGTGGGCAGATGTTATGGAATAGCGACCGTTACTAATTTAGTCATTTCAGCACAATGTTTCAACCGTGGGAAACAGAATATGTTTAGAATATCTTGGGAATTATTGTAAAATTGTTTTGAGAGACAGAATTATTAAAGTGCTGTTCCACATCTGTGGCTTACATTGAATAGGAACTAGTGTACCATTGCAACTTTCTGCTTTAGAGTTTTTGCCTCACTTTTTGTTGCACAACTATACAATGATAGAAATGTAAACATTCTGCAAATAATACAGAAATATACTCCAAACACATTTGTTCCTATAGATTTAATCTTCTATTTCTACCCAGACATAAACCATTTTGATTAAATATATGAACTAATAAAAGAACAAAAAAAAGCAAACTATACATAGTGTCTCTCTATTGTCACTAACCCTAACCCTAACCCTTTACAAAGACTTTCATTAATTGTTAAAGCTTTAACCTGACCCTAAACCTAACCATTACTAGTTCATGCCTAACCCTAAACCTAACCTGAACACAATTCAAAACCTAGTCCTAACCCATAACCCCAAAAGCAGCACTTCCTCTTATGGGCCCCATAAGGAGCAGTCAGTCCTCACTACATAGCATGTGTTACGAAAATGGCCCTTACACTGTATCAGGTACAAAATCACACACACACACGTAAACACACACATCATGCTGTCTCTTGTTTGCTGACACAACATGCACCAGTGCACCGTTAATTCAGTTAATAGTTTAATTTCACTTTGATTATGAATACAGGCACAGGGCTGCCAGCCTGAAGTAGCTGCTGTAATTAGTCAGGTAATAATGAGCTGGACTGATAGCTCATCATCAGAGCCTCCAGACAGACGTGCAGATGAGCCCTAAAAACAGACCCCGGCTCTACCTTTTTGTGCGTGCGCCAATAGGTGATGCCTGCCATGCCAACAGTTTTCTTTTTGTTATTTTTTTTTTGTCTAGACTTAACACTCACATGTAATGTCAGTATTTTCTGTTTTCAAGTGTTTTTCTGTTTATTTTTTATTTTTTTTTTTGCCAAAGCAAGAGCGTTTGATCACTTTTCTCTGTCACTTTAATTGAATTTATTTTCTTCACCATCTACTT